GTGATTCAGACAATTCAAAGCCACTCTGGGATGTCAGACCACTGACATATTTTTGCTCTGTGAGAATCCATACCAAGACAAAAAGTATTCTCCAGCTCTTTATAGACTCTCACATCTTTAACAACTTTCTGATAAGCTTTTTTCTTTTTTTTCTTTCTTTTTTTTTTTTTTTTTCCAATTTGTTATTGCAAATCTGGTTTTAGCCTACTTTTGATCCTTAGTAAAGTGATCGTATTTGTTTCAGGCCACTCTTTATCAGTAAAGCTAGAGGTCAAATAGAACCCTAGCAATTCTGACAAATATCCTAAACCCAAGACTCAATACTAGAAAAAGGACAAAGAAATTAACTGTTTTGCCTTTATTTTTTTATTTGTAAAGCTGAACAAGAACAAGTCTTCCTCTGAGATGCAACATAAGTCTAAAACAACTGCTTTTCTCTCAAGTGAACAGGTTGAGTCTGAATATTTTCCCTACTCCCATGTTCAAAGTATGGTCATAAAGCGCTGTAATATATTTTGTGGCAGAACATAAATTAACATGTAGACATGGTCTAATCCCTTACCATTTCCTAATCTACTTATGTTAATGGTTACAATCAGCCTTTGAACAGAATGGACGTACAACAGATCAGCAGAGTTCTAGCATGCAACAAGATATAAAAAGTTTTCTCATCATATGCACTTCTAGTCTGTTCTCTAGTTACAACCCTACTAGAATGTTCCTTAACCTACAACAGCAGGAGGAAGAAAGAATTCCCACAGCAACAAAAGTAAGGCATAATTCTGCTACTGAGAAGAACATTTGGAAAACCTATGGGAACTTATTTTCATCCTACTTGCTACAGGAGACCTGAAAGAGGATTGGAATATAACAGATACTATTCACTTTACGGTAAGATCTGAAAGACTGTTCATAAATTACACATGACAATGAGAGTCAAATCCTGATCTTAACAATACTAAGAATTTTGCCAGTGAAAAGTAGGAGATTGTGAATGACACCAACAGATTTCCTGATGTTTGTGGAGTCTAATGATCAACCACTGTGCAAAATTAATGAAAAATCTCTTGAGTACGTCACGGGTGCTGGCAGTACATAGAAAATTTGCGAGACTTGAAGAATCCTTTTGTTATCTGCAAAACAATGACTGTAAATGAATCGGTCGCTTTCCTCCAACTCTCTGGAAGTCTGCTCAGAACATTTCAGAGTTTCTCCTTTGGGCAGCCAGGAGAAGTAAAGAGCTCAGCACAAGCAGTCATGAAGGACAGGGAAATGAGTCATCCCAGTCCACTGTTAATGATCTCGTCAATCCTTCACTGTGTCAAATTATAAATATATAGTAAATATTGACAGGCATTTTGAGACAGGTTTTGAAAGAGAACATTTATCTTGTTTTTGTTCTTCCCAGGACAGATCATTCTCAAAGAAGCCAATAGTTTCAAAGATTTAGGAACAAACTGATTATGAAAAATATGAAAATTCATTTTAGTGCAGAGATTACATTGCTAAAGGACAGTCAGACCTACTGGTGTTTTAACTGTGAATATTTTCTCTCTGTCCACTTCCCTTCACTATAATCTAGTTATTTATTTTGCTAGAACCTTCTTCTTTGAAGCTTCTAACATTTGCAGTCAGTTTTGCCTACCTCAAACTTTGGAGGACCAACAGCATCCTCAGTGATGCTCTGTGTTATTCAAAATCACTGTAAAACATTAACTTCTTATAAATATTGCACAAGTGATTATCTAGATTAAATTTAGTAGAATAACTGAATTTCTGTCATTTACAGATGCTTCGAGAATTTGAGGGCTCCTGCCTTCACAGTTGGTTGTCACACACAATAATGTCCTCTGTTATTGCAATTCTATCACACAGCAAAACTATGCTGAACTTTTACTTAACCAAATTTAAACTGAGATGGCAAAAAAGTATCTCTTGGACATACAGGGCACCACACTCGCAATCACTAAATACCTCCCCATCCAAAACATACGTTTCAGAGAAAAGAGTAGAAAACACAGGAAGAAACATTTTTGTACCCTTGTTTTAAAAACAAGATAAATTTTGCTTGTAAGTCCAAGCTAAAGGGCATTCTCCAAATAGAAATCATCAAACTACCTATTTGTGCTATTTGGCAAAGCTGTAAACAACTGGAAGTTTTTCAGGATAGTACAGTTCTCATCAGGCAGAATGTTCCTGTTTCTCATTACAATTTACCACAGAGCATTTAAGCTAATATCACTATTACATTTAAATCCTTCATACTAACTAGTTGGAAGAATCATATTGGAAGGTACATTGTAACATCTAAGTTTGGTGACAGTTCTGTAGCTCTAAAACAATTCTGGAATACAATTTGCATAAAGTGCATTCATGCTTAATCACATACTTTAACTCATGTTTTTCAGAATCCAAGATGGAAAGCTGAACAGAACTGCTTATTATATTGTTATAAAAATAGTCGCAAAACCGTACCTAGTATTTTTCTGCTTGTTTGCATGGAATATTCTGTAATTAGCACATACACATCCATATATACCACCCCTTTCATCTACAGCACTCACCAAATCTTACATTATAAAACAAGGATGACCAGTGGTCCTTATTCTCTAAGTCACATACCAAACCTTACTGAGGTCCAAAGTCACGGAGATATCTCAAACTTTGGAGGACCAACATAAAAAGCAGCACTGTAAGTGATTTGGAAGCACAACTGGAACTGACTACCCAATAGCTTCACTGTTCCCCGGTGAAAGACAGTATGCTAGGAATTCAACTAGGTTCTCAGAATATGAAACTTGTCACCCCTTCATCATTTACTGCCTGTCATAATCGGTGTTTCTGATTAACCTACCAGTCTCATGCCAGCATAGCCTCACAGTGGTGGCACAGCAGAAGCCTGGTAGCCACCCTGAATTGGTTGCGACACACATGCATATCAAGAACCAGAACTATCCATTCTTTTATTAAAATGTGAGGTATTCTCAAAACCACTTTTCTGCTCTACGGGTGACTATGCACTTTTCACACTCTATGTTCAAAAATATAATCAAGTTACTGAGCGGACAAAAGAGATTAAAGTTATCATATAGCTTTAATTCAAGATTCTATGTGTTCCAGCTAAAATATCTGTTTGAAATAGTGTGTTTGGAACCAATCCTGTGCGGCTGTCTTTCTTCAGGCCAACAAAGAAAATCCAATGAATGAAAGCTCTTTAATATTAAAAAAATATTCTGATTTTAAATCCTTCTATCTCTTTTTGAAGCTAGGAAAGACAGACAGGCAATGTTGATTTATAAAAAACTAAGACATCATGAGATAATGATTCCGTGTGAGCTCATCTGAGAAGGCATTAAACCCTTTGCAAACTCAGGCACGATGACATGCTTATTTAATGAAAGAGTAATTTCTGAATTCTTTTATTGAACAGTAAATTGAATTATTTTCACATAAACCTTGGTTTCTTCATCTGAAAACTCACAGATGTTATGTAGTTGAGGCAGAGCAAATTTCTGCTAATTAACCAAGCAGGAATTTGTTTATAAAAGTTCAGAAGAGGTATGTTCTGATGTGACAGAAAGGAAGAAAAAGAAGGAATGGAGAAACATTTGCTAAATGAACAGCAAATATATATTCACGGCCACCAGGAAAGACAATAGTAAATTAATGGCTAAATTTAAGAAAAATTAACCTATTAAGAGTGGGAAGACTGCACCTCAGATCTTACAATTTTATTTTACAGACAGAATATATGTTTATTCAAGACCTACTTCATCTTTGTCTAGTTATTTACTGAGCTTGGGTACCATACAAAAAGAGATGCAGTAATATTCGCATATAATATTTTTTAAATGATCACTGAAGATTAACGTCAGCGCTTTTAGGAGAGTGACCACAATAGCAGAAAAGAGCTGTCCGGGACTATTGCAACTTGCCATGTTCTTTGTTGTACATTCACAAAGAGTAGTTTGAACCACTCTTTCTTTTCTTGTTGTGCAGTGGCCTACACTGACTCTCCCTGCTATGGCCTTATAAAGTTGTTAGTCAGAGAAGAAATTTCTAACTACTATTATTTCGGCACATTAGAAGTGTAGCTTTTCTACCTCCACCTCACTGACTAAGCAGTGTTTGTGTTATCCAGGCTCTGGGGGAAACAAGAGCATAAGTCAGTGAACTGGTCAGACCTGAGAGAACCAATAGTTACAATGCTAGTTGGTGAGTGGGGTGAAGCAACTATAATGTCTGTCAAGTACCACATCAGTCCCCGTTACTGAGATACACTACTAGTAGGTCTTAACAGCTATATTATAACTCTCATTCTTTTGCTTTTGTCACCTTAAGACTGTAAGCCTACGTTTAGTTTTAGACTGCAGATGTAACTGGAAATCTGTAGGTATGCTGGAAGCTTGCTGGGGGACCACCTGTCTCCTTATAGTGAGGGCCTGTACCTTAGTTCAGCCAAACTGAATATAGTTTGAACATTTAGCTGATGTCTTTTGGAGGCCACTAGGCTTCCAACAAGCTTGAAGTGTTTCTGATGCCGTAACTCAAGATGATGTAACCTTAAATATGATTCACAAAGAGTAACTGGTTACTGGGATATAGCTTGACTGAACTAACAGAGACAAAGTAAGAAAAGTTGATAGAATTCCCCCATACAAGCCTTGCGGCTCCCCTCCTCTCACCAGATGCATCAAATATTCTCTTTAGAATTGCAGAAGTTTGGTTACACAATCCTGCAAGTTTTCATCCTGCTATATCAAAGTGTGTTTTTTCCTCAACAATTCCTCCCCTTTCTACACTCCTTACATAGCAGATCAACTATTGTTCAAAAATAGCATATAACACAATTTGTTCTTTCTTCATCAGTACGAGAAACCTGGCACACGGAATTGAGGATGAACTTAAAATTAATGTAACAGCAGCTTTTACAAACATCACCTCATTGTTAAAAATGTCATAATAAAGGTCTATGCTAATAAAAATTACTTTAAACTTACCAAATCTTTTTCTTACAGGTAGCAGTTTTTTGGTAGTCCACAGTGAGATCATCTGTTTCAAAAGGCTTTGCGAAAAAGAACCTGCAACAGAAGATAAATACAGCAGCATAAAACCAGCAGCATAGATATCTTGCAAGCTGACATTAAACATGCTGGTTCAGATACTACAGTAGCACAATACTTCATATGGATAATTTTCTTACACTTTTGGAAAAAAGTTAATGAAGGTTTTTCTCTGAAAACTCAGAAGGCTTGATTATCTACTTCCTGCTTAGAAATAATATGAAGCATCAGGTTAAAATCTTGAATCCGCACTACACAGTATTGTAAAAGGCTTGCTTCCCTTTGAGGCAACTGGCAGAAGCAATCCTTAAATGCAAACAAAACCTGCCGACTATCCTTTGAGAAATATATGTATATTTAAATCATTTAGGGAAGCAAGCTTAAGCTGCAGGCTTCAGTAAGTCTGTCAAATGGCAACTGATAAACAATCAAAATCATCTTTTACATCAGCAGTAACAATCAGTCCACTGTCAGTCAGGAGTGCACTGATTCCTGCTGGTGGTCCTCCTGCCCACATATCTGCTAATTTCTAGGTGCCTCCAGAACGGAATTGTAGGGGGGAAAAACACCCACGTTGGGGGAACCAGCAGATGTAAGACAGACAGCAAAATATTCCTTGTTTTTATTAAATACTTTACCAACTATTTATTCCCAGAAAATTTTACCAGTTTTCCCTGAAAATAAAACGCAGAAAATATCATAAGAAGAATTTATATTTTGATATTATTGACCAACCATGCAAATGTATTTTTTATTTCTTTATTAAATTCTTATTTGTATTTCAACATATGATCCGAATTCTCTGAAAAAAAAGGGGGCTGGTGGTGAAAAGGAGTGTTATTTTACATTTTAGTTAGACCTCACTTAAGAAATTATCCATTTAATTTTGGAAAATCCATGTACATTTTATGCAGATCTATTACTTGGGAGGTAAAGAAATTTGTTCCTGTATAAGTTACATTTAAACACAAAGAATTAGCATAACTCCTGTGTATTATATTTTTCATACAGAGTAACAATTCTGTTGCTACACACGGAAAGCAAAGAGTAAGTGAGTAAAATCATTTTGATTTCAGACATTCTACTGTTTAACAGTGAATTTAATAAAATAAACTTAATGGATTTAATGATTTTTCTAACATGGTACATGGAAACGGAATTATTTACTATGTTTTAAGAATTTCTGTAACACACTACTTCCAGGATGAGCATTCATTTTTGGCTCATAGTTCCTGGAACTGAGAGCAAGTTGATGGCTATCTATTAATGATACGAATTACTATCAGTTTTCTTGTCAAAAGTGACATAAATAGAATGGATTGTCTCAGGCCAGAAAATAAGTTGAAAAGCAACATTTTTATTTAATTGCATTTTGGCCTTATAAATCTTATTAAATTTTAAATTAACAGCCTGTATATTAAAGCCCAAACAGGCAATAACCTACCACAGTCATCTCAATAAAAAGCTGCATTAAGTCTTCCTCAGGTTTTAACGATTATATTAGATATGGAAGCATGATGAAAAGATTTCTAATTTTTGAAGACTAACAAACGAAAACTGACAAATATGCTATTTCACAATACTACACACCACACCTTACAGCGAAATGAATTACAACCTTTACAGTAGTCATGTTCAGAACATTCATCTTTACGTATCAAGAATTTGCCCTGCTGTGATGGCCTTCTTGTTTCTGACTTAATTACCTTCAAGTTTCATTAGCAACACTGAGAAAACGTTTTTATTGTTTCACCTGTTTCATGCAATTTTGAATGAAAGGGAGGGCATGGCCTTTGTTCTCCTCATGTACATGCACGTGATGGAAGTGAAGAGCTCAGAAACAATGTGTCAGAACTATGTTCCTATGGGTGTCTGGACAGGTGCTAAAATTAATACAGGAACAGACCAAAGCACGGTCCTCGCCTCCTCTTCAATCTTATTAAGCCAATTCAACCGTGTATTTGTGTCCAAACCACCTTTAGGTATGCAGGCACCTACGCCATACCTATTAAAAAGAAATCCCGCCTGGTTACTAACCATACTTCATGTTTTCTCTCAATCCACTTTAAATCTGAAACACTATCGCTTTTCTCACCTATGCAGCCGTAAAATTGGGTTTACACGTCCCAACTCCCCGATGCCGTGCAAACGTCGCCTGAGAGAAAGCACGACGAACACACCGCCCAGGGCGCGGGAGAAGAGAGCTCGTACGGACAGACGCACGGACGCGCACTGCAAACCAGCGGGCCGCGCTGCTTCGGGGGCCACGGCCACGGCCACGGCCACGCGGGGCCGCCCCCGCTACGAGGCCCGGCCCGTCCCGCCTCGCCCCGAGGGCTGGGCGCCTCAGCCAGCCCCCGCCGCTCCCCGCGGGGACCGCACAGAGGGCTCCCCACACGGAAACGCACAGGCAGCGCTCCACGGGCGCGCGCGCACACGCACACACACACGCGCGCGCCTCACGAACTGCCACTCTTGGGGGGGGGGGCGGGTGGGGATTGACACGGGTCGGGAAGCGCCTCAGCTCTGCCCGCCCCGCCCCCGCCCCCCCCAAAACCCCACCCACTGCCCCGCCCCGCGCACGTGGGGCTCGTCTGGGGGCACGCGGCTACCGGCCGCCCCTGGCTCCGCCCACCCGCGTCCGCAACCGCGCACGCGCCGCCTGCCCGGACCGGCCAGGCGGGCGGGGTTTGCCACCGCGCCTGCGCGGCGCTGCGTCCTCCCGGCGTGCTCGGCGGGAGTGTCATGGCGGCTCCCTGCGGCCGGTTCCTGCACATGGGCTGAGGGGAAGGTGGCATCGCCGGTCAGCGCAGCGGCCTCCGAGCGAGCGGTGGGGGGCGGGGCGGCGGCGGGGCTATGCTGGCCCTGGAGCGCTCCCTGCTGAGGGGCTTCCTCAGCGCGGCGGAGTCCCGGGAGTGGAAGCAGGGCGAAGTCGCGGCAGCAGGTGAGGGGATGTCCCGGCCGTTACCGTGGGTATCCGGAGCTATCGACGTCTCCACCGGCCCCAGGCCGAGCCGAGCCCGCGGCTGGCGGCTCCCTCCACCCGCGCCCGCTGCGGAGGCGGCCGTGTCCCGTCCGTATCCCCCCCGCCCTTTCTGCCCCCTCGCCAGGCTCCGGTGGGCTCCCGCCGGCGGAGGCCTGGAGGAGCGGGCGCGGTGCCGGCGGCAGGGGCAGGGCCGGGGCGGGAGGTGCGTCGGGACCCTCCTCCGAGTTTCTCGGCCGTTACCCGCCGGCCCGACAGGGCTTCAGGCGGAGCGACGGCGGCCGCGGCTGCAGCAAGTCCCGGGCCGGGGGCCGGCAGGCGCCCCGCCGGCCGCTTCGTGTCGGCACCCGGGAGGGTTTTAATCACGGCGCTTCCTCCGACTGCTTCGTGACCCACGGGAGACTACCTGGCTGATTGAATTTGGGCAGCGATGCGAAATCCACTCTTGCAGCAAAACATGAGGAAAAGTCTGGCATGAACTGCACGTTCTATGTTTCATTAGTTATTTAGTCACGGTTTCTTGAGGGAACAATGGAACGCAGTCTCTTGAGGGGACTTGGTTAGGTTGTTGCTGACCTAGCTTTCCTGCAGCTTCTAAAATGTAGCATTTGTCATTAAAAGGCATGTCCATGTTTCAGATGGGCTAGAAATACAGTTGTTCTCAAGTCATGGGTCATGCCCTTTAAAACATTTAAAGGTTGTAGTGTATGGAAAGACTCATTTATCCTTACCCAAACACTAACTGAATTTTGGTAAAAAACTGCACAGACCTGCTCAGCTCTATTTCCTTATGTTACTTCTTTTTAACCTTAATCATTGTATTGTCCAGGAAAGTTAGGTGATATGACTGACATCTGTCAGATCTGTCCTTTCACAGAGTTGTGTATGCTGCTTGTGTAGTTGTGTGGTTTTTGGTTGGTTTTTTTTGTTTGCTTGGTTTGTTTGTTTGTTTGTTTTGGTTCTTTTAAGTAATGTGCTGCTATAAGATGTGGTAAAGGCTGTTGTTGAAGAAAGGTGTCTTACAATAGACAGATAAAATGATGGCATTTGTGATGATTTCTAGTTGTCACCTACATAGGCCATTCCTATTGATGATCCTAAAACTAAATTTAAAGACTGTGACTTTGAATTTGTATGGCATCTTATAAGAAGCTAAACAGAATCAAAAGCAGATTTGGTGTGCTTACAGTGATGTTACAGTGTTAGTGGAAAGAGAAAACCTCAATATTCTTCATTAGTGTCCTCACAGCCAATACTTATTGTACACACTGCAGCATTGCCTGTCTGGGCAACCATAATCCAATACAAAAAAGATGTCATCTGTTGAAAGAAAGTCTCCCCAAAGCATAGATTAGAGAAAGTTTATCACTATTTCTGTTCTCTACGAGAGTATGATGTCAGCAGTGTTATAGAACCATTACTATTCTTTTGCACATGCCCTTCCAGGTACACCTTGTAGTGTTTTTTAAATCATATAGCACAAGTGATGTCTTAAATCATTCAGTTGATCATTGTTGTAAAGAACAAAAGTAAATTGAGGTCAACCACCTGGTCCAGAGAGATTAGAATGAATGTCAATCATCCATACCTACAAGTCATCCATTGCTGCTATTGAAGTTGGTTCTGCACTCAGTCTTCCCAGATGTCTGAAACTTAAAATACTTGTTCTGGCTGGATGAACTTGAGGTTGGTATTTGGTTCACTTCCTTGCACAGCTGCTGCTTGTGTGGATCTGTACCTGTGCTAGTGTTAATTTGGCTAACACGAGTACTAACATTACAGTAACTATGGTAACACTGAGTGCACGGGAGCTGCAGTCTGCAGCTGGAATCACAGATTAATATTAAGGCACATATCCAATGCAGACCTCTTCATTTCCTCTGTCACACCACTACCACCATCTGCATCAGCTAGTTTAAAACCAGTTAGTACATCTACATTAGTTGTAGCCACAGCTGCAGCATAGGCAGATGCTGATTTTGCTCAAGAATAGAAGGTTTTAACACTGTGAAGTTGTTCTAACAGCTGCTGTATTGATTGCACTGTAGTATATCTGAAGAAAGAAGGGAAGATGCCTTCTGTGAACAAATTTGTAGTCTGGATCAAGAACTTGATGGGTTTGAAACTTTTTAGAAATTAAATGTCTAGCATTTCATGACTTCTGTTTGTCTTGAAAGGCTTCAGTGGAGAAACATTCATGGATCTAAATCCACCTTAGTAGTTATTACTAAGGATCTGACTCCATATGCAGACTTCTTATTGAGATAGTAAACTTATAATAGAAAAATAATTATTTTATAAAGATAAAATCGTATTGTCATTCTTTGTGAATGTTCTAAGCACTTAAAAAAGGGACTTAAAGAGTAGTTTCTACAGTTTTAAATGAGAATTTATTCACCAAACTCTCCAAATATTGAACTCTTTTTATTAGTTACATTTTCCCTAAAAAAATTCTCTAGTCTGTAAAATTGTCTTATCTATAGGATTTTACTGTAACACACTCATATTAAATGTTTTCCAGGAAGAAAACCCTCTTGTGATAATTGTAGTTGTCTTCAGTAACTGTAGTACACATGTTTGAAAGGCCATCCATGTATTTCCTCTGAAATTTCAGTGCAAGTTTTTGTTTTGCATTCATCTGGCAGCTTGTATTTCACTAAAACATTAATACAAGTTCTGTAAAATTTATTTTGAATAAAGTGACACCTGCTGCTGTTGTTCTTTAGTTTCAATGCAACTGTACTTTTTCTGCAATGTAAATGAAGATTGATTCCTTGAAAGGGTAGTGGTATATGTTTTGGTTTTAATAGATCTTGTAAGATAAAGTTGTTTCAAAATTGATCCTGATTTTTGTTTTTTCTTTTTTTTCCTCCCCAGAAAGTGGATCCTTATTGCAGTTGATTTTTGAAGGGAAATATGAGGCAATATTTTCAAATTCAGCCATCCAGAATGTTTTCTGTGCATCTTCTGCGATGGAGGAGAACATTGACAGTTACTTGGAGAAACAGATTCTAGCATACCTGGACTGTTCTGCAGAGGCTGATAATGTGGAAAGGTGGAAATTATTATTTATTATATGGAAGATTAATAGAGGCCATGTTTGATTTTTACAAAAGACATTTTTTTAAATTTTATAGTATGTGACATGGGGTCTCAAATTCTTGTTCTGACAGAAAACAGATTTCTCAGCTTGCACCCCCCACTCCTTTGGGTCATCTAGTCATTATCACTGTTTCACTGGATAGTATTGTGATATGAGGGTTTGTTCAAAACACTAGGTTTATTTACAGTGATTACCTCTGAAGCTGCTAGTGTAAAGAAATTAACAAATGTAAATTCGTGTTGCTGTGTGTCATCAAACAATTTATTAACAGTTTTCTCTCTGAAACATTGCATTACATTTATGTGACTACTTGAAGTACCATGTAATGTTACTGTCTGAGCAGTGCCTGTATTTCTAAGTCCGATTCATTGTAAGGTTGTTCTACTCTTCTTAATGTAAAATGAGTAAGGGATTACTCATGGATGCTATTCATTGACTATTTTCGTCACAAGACTTTCTCTGATACATTCTCTCTAATTCTACTGCATATGTTAATTCCTGCTGTTAATGAGTCTGACTTTAGTGTTTACGGTTTGCTACATAAATAATGAAGAGACTGAAATCTATCACTTGAGGGATAGTAGAAGCAGAAAACTGTATATATGTGTGTGTCTATAATTTGTTTATTTTAAAAGGTAAGGGTGGGAAAAAGTTTTGCTGAAAGAATAACACAAGATAAAAGAAGATAAAGGTAAAAATAAAGTAAGAGGAAGGTGATGTATTGCCAGTAAGCGTGGCTGAGTACAAATGTCTTTGTTTTCGTATGATAGACAAAACCAAGAGTTTTTGCTAAAATACCAGAGAGAAACGAATATTTGGCACCTTTAAAATATTAAGCCCTAATTTGTTAGTGATCATAGTGTATAAAAATCTTATCTTCTAGTGTGGTACACAATATGATGTGCTTCTGTTTTCTGAGTTGGTACGTTCAGAGGCTGTTCCTGTGCATTTTGTCTCTAGGTGCTTTTTTTCTTTTTTCTTCTTACTTTGTTGTGCTGTTTCTGTTAGATATTTAGATGGTTTAGATGGTACCGTAGCCTAGAGAAATTTTTCAATATTTCTAGATTATGTCATCTTGCAGTAGTTTATTCTGAATAACATGGCAAGGAAAGAAAAATCAGTCAGGGCTGAAAACAGACCCAGTCCTGATCATAATCATTGCTTGAAATGTGTGTTGCTGCCTTTATGAACCATTCATCTTATTAAAGGTAATCACAATCTATATCATGCACCCAGTAATATTTTATACATATCCTGTCATCGTGATGTGTTGTCTTCTCCTGCTCCCCCTGTGAGACTTTTTTGGCCTATGTGCCATTTACCGGACTCTATCACTGCTGTCCTA